TATCTTACCGTTCCTGCTGCATGTGAACTAAGCCTAACAAACGCCGTCTGTTAATCTCAGCTGCGAGGTAGTGTGACATTGATAGTGGATCAGGAAAAAGTGCCGAGAATCTGATGAGGGGCATCGGAAAGGAAACATTATTAATGGGCAGGCATACCCAAATTTTATATGCATTGGTGCAGTCCGTTTGAGGACCTGAGCCTAAGTTCTCCGAGTGAAGCAATACTGATCCAGATGGAGACTTTCAAATACTGTCGATTGATGCGTAGCAAATACCACCGAGCGATAACTGCATCTATACACTCTACTCCACGCTTTCCCGTCTGCTATTCATGTCTCTTCTATTCATGTCTCTTGGAGAAACGTTCTCGACAGCTTCCTCCATTTGCCCCTATAAGGCTGCGTTTATACTTTACGGCAGCGTACGCCAGCTTACGCTAGCGTTTCCAGCGTACGCCAGCGGCAGTGTCGGGGAAAGGATAGATATCGATCTAGCGTTCCCAGCGTCACCAGCGTACGCTAGCGTAACGCTAGCGTAGCGAGGGCACGGGAAGCATAGCTATCGATCTAGCGCTTCCAGGGTTTCACTAGCGTTTGTCAGCGGCGGGGTAGAGTATAGAAGAGTAGGAGAGTACAAAACACATCGATTACGCGTTGTGAAATGTGGCGCGTGTAGCCACACCGCATCAGTAGGCAATACCGTACTCTAAAATAGTCGCATTGTGCAATTCTGTCAGTTGGCTGCAGTTTTTGCTACTTTGTCGCTTTAAAAATGTCATAAATATGCACTGGCATTCTAGTTTTTCGGTCTTCCGAAATCAAATAACTAGGATGCACAAGAGAAACTTGACTACATCTTCTGTTCTTCAGAGACCACACACCATCGGGTATCACTTCTTAGGAAGGTCTGCCATTCAGCATGAGCTGAGATATCTACAACCTATCTTGTGTGTCCTGTGCACACAACCTAAGAGCTGTTTGTGAGATGGCCGGCGGGCCGCAATTTCCTTTCGACATGTCTGGAGACACTTTTGACTCGCTCAATTTTTGACGCTCTCACGGGAAAGAACTGTTGAGTTCAGGAGAACAATAACAAATCTCTGTTAGATCTAGATTCATACTGCAGTTCTTCACAAGCCGCAATGGTAAACGAATTCCAGCAAAATAAGATAAATGGAAGAATGAAAATAAAACGGTTCCAAGCGCGCTGATCAGGCAAGAAGGAGGAGGGAGAGTCTCGAAGGACTAAAAAATCTAGGATTCGCGTGCATATTTATAACATTTTAAAGCAACAAAGTAGCAAAAATTGCAGCCAACTGACAGAATTGCACAATGCGACTATTTTAGAGTACGGTATTGCCTACTGATGCGGTGTGGCTACACGCGCCGCATTTCACAACGCGTAATCGATGTGTTTTGTACTCTCCTACTCTTCTATACTCTCTACCCCGCCGCTGACAAACGCTAGTGAAACGCTGGAAGCGCTAGATCGATAGCTATCATTCCCGTGCCCTCGCTAGGCTGAGCGTAACGCTAGAATGCTCTAGCGTTAGCTAGCGTACGCTGGTGACGCTGGTAAACGCTAGATCGATATCTATCCTTCCCCTTGCACTGCCGCTGACGTACGCTGCCGCAAAGTATAAACACAGCCTAATGCACAATCACGTCTGAGCGACGAGAAAATTCCCTAGCAGGAACACAAGGATCTTCCATCAGAGACATTAGTATCTCATGATTATGTGATGCAGCACCATGCTTGAAAAGAAAGCCGTTTTATGAGACCATAGAAGGACATGTGCCAGGTCGTTTGCAGCTGTCCGAATTCTCCACCGCTATCTTCTCATGAGTAAGATTCAGGAAATGGCTCCGATGTAGCCTCCGTTTCAGTTTCGGATGCTTATCCTGCTACTCCCTACTTTTACATTCACAATAGCCGAGCTATCGTACTCAGACCTATTCAATCATTTCAATACATGTATCTTCGTGAGTGAAAATTCGTGTACGAAATGCTGTTGACGATTCTGGAAACACTTTTATACAATGGCTGTGATATGCACTTGTTATATGGCGCATTTTAAGCTAGGAGTGATGTGTACAGGATCGTTTGCCATTCATGGAATTGTGTCTTTTTGTGCGCTTTTGTTCATAGAGAAGCCAACACAATCGAATTCTCAGAATGTGCAGATTCAGAAGCAAAAAAGAGGTTAGCCATCGAAAAAAAGTTCATTATGTTAGTAAATTGCGAACATCTCATTGGAGCTTTTTAGGAAGGTGAGCTTGCTGCTCCCGCCGAAAAACAGGAAGGTACTGAAAGGAATACACAAGAGGTTCTGGAGATTCGAGTAAGCTACACTCATCGCCTACTGTGATCCCTCAATTATATTAGGTTGTTCCAGAAGTTTGTGACCATTTTCAGTATCTCAAATCACTCGTAGCCATTTCAAGATCCAGTTATATGGTCTAATGGAAGTGTGTTAAGTAAGCATCCCATAGCTTCTTTACCGTCCCTCGCAGTCGCTGTTCTCATATGAAAAACGGTAATTGAAATTCATCATTTTCGACACACTTCGCTATATGAATCTCCACCAAGCCACGAACGTGGTTGGAGCCAAAAGCGAGATTTCTCTGAGTTACGTTCTACCTTCCACAGCACGGCGTTGAAATGGCCCTATCGCTTTCGCTTGAGTGACTTCTGCCTGGGGAGAAAAACTTCGTCCAGGGAGGCCACCTGCCTTGGATTTGGACCTACTGTGTTCCTTAATTGAAACCAACTCGCACAAATCATCCCGCTATCTAGCCCTTACACTTGACTGTTCAAAGTCACAAATGACAGAGTGCCTCGATTCCTAAAAGTTTTGAAGTTCGGTCAAAATTCCTCTCATGAGTCGACCGATACCTCAAGGGGAGCTCTTGTGGGTAGCGTCTGCAACCTCTTCCCCGTTTCGCCGTTTGGAGTGGTTGAACAGCGTTGTAACCGGATATGGAGTGTCTGTAGGTGAATCATTAATGGAAGCCCCAGTGGCTGGATCCCCAAAAAGGGCAGAACCGGTCGCTATCATATCAATCTAGAAGGGCGGTGAGACTGTGTATGTGGTGGGGTTCCTTTCTCTCTTCCCTGACGAACTTCTTCTTCTCAGCTGTAGTAACCAGCGAGTCCTCCTGTAATTAGCTGCGTAGGAAAGATGAAAATCCTCATCATTTGGTCCTATAACCACCAATGGCTGCCTACTCCAAAGCAGCTCAGGGTCACGTCTCGAGAGTGACACTGCTCCAGATCCTGAAGCTCAGCTGGGGAGTTCCACCCCAGTCTTCGTGTAGCCCTGACATAGCTCTTCGATCGTCATCTAAGGTCATGTCACAGTGGCGGTAAAGATACGATTTCTGAAAGTACTTCAAAAATTGCTCAGCTGACTTTCTCGGCCCGGAACAAAAGCTTCTGGGAGCAGGGCAGCCTCTCTTTGTCTGGTGTTTGGCAACGATTTGCCAACAAAGGTAATTATATATTGTTGATCAAAATTGCTTCTCATCAAAATAAACATAACTCGAAGAAAAGTCCGAAAATGTCACGAACTCTTGGGACAACCCAGTATACGGGTAGCAACATCGCAGTCAGTTTGAAGCGGTGTTACGAGGGTGGGACGAGCTCGCCTCCCATTACTTGTTCCACCAACGGTGATCAGCTCCTCGTCGTAAATTTCTCTAGTAATCGATAGAAGCGCTATCACTAGGCTACTGTGTAATGGTACGATACCGAATCGAGACTGAACGGTTAGCACCGATTCAGTGAGTTAGTTGAGTGACTGACGATTGATTGCTTTCATCGAATTCGTTGGCTCCTTTATTTCGAGGGCGAAGTTTGCCTTTGTGACAAAGCGCAAAGTGACGCATGAGTGTAGGGGAGAACGGAAAGAAAGTCTCTTCCGCGATGATCAACGCCACCTACATCGAGTAAACCGGGAGCAATATAGAGGGATACGACGTAACGAGAAAAACTGCGCCAATCCCCCAAAACAAGGGTTTTTTATCGCCTTTTTCCCTGGAGGCATTTGGACGGAATTTGTAATCATCTTGATACGAGACCTCATGAACACGAATGTCACATCCGCTTGGCCTAAGAGCGCTTGGCGCCAGACAACGGCACCACACGCCTAATCAAATCCCGGTCCGTGCAGCCCTACCTAACGCGTGATCGTGTTGAGCTGTATGTTAGGGCAGTTGGGAAGATACGACGAGAGAAGGCAGCACGCTTTCTAATTGCCTCCAACAACGGTTTTTCTTTTGTCGAATTTCAGCCTCAGCAGAGGATGGGGACCCCTTCCTCCATCTTTATTCCCATGCTCCCGCGCAGATGTGATTCTCGTACTTGAGGAGGTCAAACCACTCTTGCAAATGAAGCAAATTCCAGCCAAATCTGCCCTCGTAGAAAGGACTCGGTGAAAAACTGGCTTGATATTGGAAGATTGCGGGACTAACGAGTAAATAGTGCCAGCTTTTTTTGCAGTGCAACAACTCTTCCTACCTCTGCTGATTGTGGAAACAGGGTAGTGGGAAATCTTTCGCTGTAAGCGTACAACTAGGACTCTATCAACCACCAGCAGCGCCAACTCCCACAAACTTCTAGAAAAATTCCTCACTGAAACTCTGCCTGTAGGGGTTACGGCTGCGGGTGCTGGGGCTAAAAGTACCTATGATGAGCCCCTGCAGCTGATGTCAGAAATTTCATTATGACTTTCTCTAAGTGGATTGAATAACTCCTAATGGCAAAGATTTGGCTAGCTTTACCCTCGATAAGTTCATTCAAAATGTGGCCTGAGTTTCAAACACTGGAGCATTACTGGGTTACCGCTGCCGAAAAAAATAGGATAGCAACGGCAGCTTAATGGCACCGAACAGGGACCGTTTCGCTGCGATTCTCCATTTTATCGAACAGTAAGGAAAGCTAGGTCCAAAGGAGGAAAGCAAAAACTCAAACAGACTTGGCTCGAAGTGCTACGATCAGCACTTTTGGTCAAGGCACTACCTGCCGACGCGGCAATCCCCTACTCTGGGTGCGACTCTCTTTCCCATGTTACATGGTTACTGCCTTCGTGACTTTTGCCTGCTTTTCACCACTTCTTCAGAATGTGTTTCCAATTTTCACCAGAAAATGGCGGCGAACAGGGGTGTGAAGCATAGGTGAAACAGGAAAGGTGTCAACAACCGGACAGGTTTTGTTTTCCGCCGCTCAAGAAATTTACCCTCTGAGAGGCAATCACGATCCTTTCTGAACAAAACAGCAATGGCAACAGACTTCTCGAAAGCCCGCCAAGTTCCGATCGGCGGAAATGTCACTCATTCCTCATTTGTCAGGATCTCGTAAAATACTACGGAAAGTTACGAGTGTTGAAAGGAATCACATTTGACGTCCACCGGAATGACTGCTTTGGAATGGTTGGAGCTAGCGGAGCCGGCAAGACAACTGCATTCAACATTATTGTCGGGCTAACTTACCCTAACTATGGCGAAGTGCTGTTCAACAACTGTGCTACGGGAGGCGTTCCAGTGAGTTATACATCTATCTCTTCAGTGCGTTGTCTTAACTAGGATTATTGTTATTATCTCTTTCCCTTTCTTTCATATCGAATTATCATCTCACCATTTACAATAACAAACTATCCTGTACTACCCTCCTTTGTATTAGTCAAGTGTAGGGGGGGGGGGGAAATGCACGCATTGCGCACTAATGTCAGCTTCTTTGATATCTTTCATTCACCTTTTCCATTTCATATTTCATTCTCCATCATCTATTTCAGCCAAGGGAGACAGTCTTTAGGACCATGCGATGTTTCGTGCGCGGCACAGTGCAAACACCTCGGCCTTGCAACAAAGCGTACGCTCGCGATAGACTTATCATTGAGGTGGATTGTCGTTTTCCATTTGTCACCTCCTCACTCAGGTAGGACTTGGATTGACACGGGCTTCAGATTTTGTTCGCATGAATAGTGCGATCAAATAGCAATTACGCATACAAACTTGGACAGATACTACTCACCACTTAATTCAAGGCAAAGCCCGCGATGATTCGTCATCAAGGATAGTGCATTGAAGGCTTGCATATAGAAGACAAGGTGCTGAGTGAACTCGACAGTGAAGAAAAAAGCAGAAAAAACATGCCAACTGCCTTAAATAGGACCCCACTTCGATCCCAATTTGTACGTGCCCAATTGACTCCATCTGCAACACTACTCCACTTAGCCCAGTTGGTTCCCTGTTATGAACTCTACGACAGTACAAGTAACGGTTTTCATGCTTATTTCTTCCTGCCTCTTCGTTTTCCACTGAAAGGCGAGCCTTGAAGGCGGAGTCTAGAGGCGGAGTCTCTGGGGAAGAAGAAGACGTCAAGCGCCCCTTCCTCACAATTTTTTGCCGCGAAACCGGTTCCAGTTGTTCGACGCGGACCACACTACTCTCCCGCCGCCATTCTATGCCTCATCGCGGACGGTGCGTTCAAGCTTACCTGCTGACCCCTAGCCATTTGACTGGCTCCATGCTTTCTGCGCAACATACCATCAGCGACTTATCCTTTTGTTGATCTACGAAGGTCTGTCCTGTTGAAAAAATAGTAGCGAAATTGCCGTTGCGAGCGCGCAGATCATAGGTATTTGTATATAGTTGCCGCGCCCCGAGTCGCGTATTCCTACGGCACACACCCGTTTCGCCCGCCGCTTCCCAATTTAACCCCTTTTCCCTGTCCTGCGGTACACATTCTGCTTGCACTACAGGTATTCTGTGCATCTCCTACCAGTTCGTGCCTGGCTCATCCTCTCGAAATGACCACTAAGATGGCGCCGACTTTCCGGTCAAAGCAGCCAGCAAGCAAACCAAAACACAATTGGCGGTTCATATACAATAAAGTAATTTGACTTTTCAGAAGATCGGATTCTGTCCCCAATTCGATTCGCTGGCTGATACTCTTTCCTCCTATCAAAACATGATGATCATAGCAGGAATGACAGGTAGACGGAAGCGTGTTTCGAGCAACAACTATATAACCATACTGAAGTCATGATTATTTAGGATATACAAATCCCAGAAAAGTGGTTAAGGAGGTTTTGCGACAACTGCGTATGACCGGCCACTGTCGAAAAAGCTTCAGTAGGCTAAGGTTGCTTCCTAAAAAAATACCACGACCTGCCGTTTTTTTTTTGTTTTTTAAAGTCAAAATTTGTGTTCTAGTGGTGGACAGAAACGAAGAATAAGCGTTGGCGTGGCCATATTGAGTAACTCGAACCTTCTTGTACTCGATGAACCCACAGCTGGCATTGATCCAAAGGTCTGGTTTGCTTGATATCAGCACTAGCACACAGTAGATGGCGCAGCTCTAAAGCTTTTCCTTCACTCCCAGGAATAAGTGTAAGGGAGTTTAGAAACTGCAACCTGCGGAACAAGTAGGCTTCAATTAGGCTCATATACCTCACAGAGTTGATGCATGGGAAACAAAGCGTTAATCGTATTCATAGCGGGGGCCACGAATATGTAACCCATTTTCGCTGGCGCTTCTGGGATGGCCAAAGAAAATGTGATCAGTAGGTCACCGGTTTGAATCTTCTGACTGATGAAATTTTTCATCCTCCCAATTTCTACTACCTTGTTCAAAAATGTGGGGACCTGTCTGAACAAAGGGTTTCCTAAACTTTCCAGGAAGAGAAGAGCTTTCTACTGCTGACGTTGTGCACTCGTGAACTTTCTTGCCCTTCTCGGCACTCCTAGGTGCGCGCAGCGAAAATGAATGGCAGCTTTCGAAGTCGCCAATGAAACCCTACATCATGGAACAAAGCCTTCCAAGAATGGTCTTCGCAACCTGGAAGCCCTCCCCCTTATTGCGCGCGCGATACCACCGAAAACGCGCGGAAGCCAGCCGAAGCGAGCACCATTAAGAAGGGTTGTCGAGGTAAAGCAGGTAGACTGAAACAGATTCAAAGCTTCTTCACCCGAGTGAAGCTAAAGCGCAAAAAAACAAAGTGACTGGCAGTGACATGGTCGTATTTTTGGTTGGTGTTTATCTTATATTCAGCACGAAAATTTTGCTACAGGCCCGACACTTTCTTTGGGACTATTTGAGTGAACAACAGAAGAGAGACAGAGCAGTGCTGCTATCCTCACATTCGATGGAAGAATGCGAAGCGCTCTGCACCCGCATAGGTATTCTTTGCCAAGGAAAGCTTGTTGAAACCGGAGCTGTTCAAACGTTGAAGTCCAGGTGTGAAATTTTTGTGGTTTTTGTACAGCTTACTCCTGGTCAAACAATTGTATGAAGGATGCCGAGGAGGATCCTGCCATGAATAATCCACTATGAGAGGGTGTAGGCATGTACAGGGGGGGGGGCAAAAAAAAGAGAGTGCAGCGTGTGTGCCCTCATGACTTCGATGGGCGCGCTATAAGTTAAGTTATCAATTAGTTTTAATAATCGGAGGCATTTTTACTACCCACATTGAACAGCATATTAGGTACTATCACGACACTCTGCCACAGCCTTCTGGACGAACGCCATCGAGAGATTCTGGCACGCGACCGCGATGTGGTACCTGAGATCAGCGGGGTAGTCGATTTCTCCGCCACCGTAGACCACCCTTTTGAACTCCACCCGAACTAGGTAATTGAGTGGGTTGCAGCGTCGAGGGAACATACTTCAATATTACATTTCTTCCAGTACAGAAGGCGCCCTTCCATTCGAAGTAGGCGGGAGTTTTTCCAAAACCCTTCGATTCCATGTGGTGGCACCCAAACCTGTAGCAGCACAAGGTCTCCAAGAAGGTACGGGCGACCACATGTAGGGAGGATATTCTTCTCGAGTTACTTGATGTAACCGCCAGCGCTCACCTTCGCCCCAGTGTCACCCCGGTCTACAAAGAAATATCAGTCTTTCATCCATGGTACCTCGGTCCAGTACCATCAACTCGCGGCCTCGGGCGCTACGCGGTGAAGATGATGTCCTAGACCGTAGCGAAGTTGACGAAGCTGCTCGATGTTGGGGGTCATCCAGATTGAGAGTACTGGTCTCCAGGTAGCTATCCATGGTGACTCCATACTAGAAGTTTCGCAGCAGTTTGGAGGTGACATGAGTTCCGAAGGTCTTCTCCAGTCAGGCTGTGACTTTGCGACTTTCGGCAGGCGCGGGCGCGAGCGGGGCTGGATGATGAAATATATCAATATTTTTATTTTTGTTTTATTATCATATGAAGGTGTTTGCTGCGCTTGATTCTGGGTGTCCAAGCGGTGCCTTGTTTATTTGGAGGAAACATGTTGTGGCGGTATTACCTCCGCCTGGGGGCGACGTGTTTATCCACGTCCTCTGTCTTTCTGTATTATTATACTTTGCTGATGTATTGCTGACCGTTGGCCAACACCGAGTGGCTTCTTTTTTGGCCGCCAACCCCTGTTCCCCAGTGGGTTTATTCGTCCCGGTCGCCTGGCTGCACCGCCGACAAGCTTCCTCCTTTGCTGTTGAGAGCAGCTTCGCCGCGCACCCCCTGGTTACTTTTCGCTAAGGCACCTTCATAACTGGACGGAAGCTCATTCAGCTTCATTCAATGAGCTGTATTTCCGTGTCCGACGCTTCTATATTTGATGTGGAGGGTAGGTGGTTGGGCCGCCCTAGAGCGCAGTTTATATTTCTGACGTACACGTTTGGGCCTAGTTGCGTTATCCGATCTTTTTAACATACCCTATGACTCATTTTGATTTCATGTTCGAATTAAATAGTTTAGACAGGCTGGATAATATAACTCGCCACTAGATGGCCAAGTGCGACAGTCATAACCTTAAGGTTTTGATTTCTCTGAGTTTTTCGCCAGAAATTCCCTGCTTCAGGCAAATCAGTACATTACCTTACCGCTACACCCGACTCCCCCCCCCCCCCTACCTACGCTTCGCCAGTTGTTCATTATCATCCCCCCCGGTACAATGGCCTTGCCGCGGTCCGCACCTCGTGTTAACGTCATAGGGAACAGGTCGCGAGGTCTTCTTCTACCACGGGGTTGCAAACTGCTAGAAATCAACTCCGCCCGGCCGCCGACTGAGACATACACAGCAACGCTTCTTATCAGCCTCATCAGCGCCAACTTTCACGCCTATCATATCTTGCACGCTGATGTCCGGCTAATATGACTTGCGGGGGCGCTTATGACTTCGGCGACTACTCCCCTTCTGACGCTCTCATCGCATCTTTGCTCCGCTGTTGTATCGACTTTCTGTCACCCTGATAAGGTCCTGTCCCATTCACCCCTATTATCCATATTCTTGCGGCAACCAAGCCGGTTCTTTCACTGCTGATTGGAATAGGCGGAGGTGTAGGATTTGTGACACACAGAACAGACGCACAATGAACGAACATCACATTAACTCTTGACAGACATACTATATGAGAACCTATACCATAGTAGGATGTTGCATTTGTATGGGTGCTGCGATGGGTTTTGAATTGATCGATACAGAGCATGATAAAGCAGACTGAGGGCTTCCCCCAACAAACAACGAGACTTGGTACGACAATCAACATGGGAGGCAGCGATCTGCTCGTGCGACCATCAGCTTCTAACAATAAGAGTGTGTTTGTGCAAGTGTCGCCAGTCGGACAGCCTTCATCATCTGCAGATTCTGATCTTTTCAGTGCGATGATAATTAAGAAAAAGGTAAACACCGGTGAAAAGTGTAGTGTTGTTCAAGTCCCGAGTTATGCGAATTATTGGGTCTATGGGTTTGACAGATACTTAAACTTGATTACAAACGAAATGCAGGTATCGAGTAGCAAAGAGTCGTGATAGTTGTGCTATGTTCCACATAACCACGAAGCATAGTGTTTTCTTGTTCTTGAACCACAACATTTTTGGACCACAACTTTATTGGGAATAAACGTGAGGGTTCAGAAAACCCGTAGTATATTTACGAAAGTACTAGGTCTTAGGGTACCAGGGTCCCTGCATTTTTCTATCATGACAAATTTTTGCTGTGAAATCGTTTTCGAAATTTGGAGTCCGTACGAATTTCCATACTGTGAACAGTAGTTATTCATTATACGCCTTTAGAAAAAAGAACAACAGCACCGGAAAATAGGCACCCTTCTATCAAGGGCCTCCCTTTGTCCGTAGGATTCCTGGTTTGAAAGTTTTCCTGTTATGTTGTTTTCCTGTTTCCTTGTGAAAAATTCCGAAGGAGTAGGACGTACTAGGGGATAAAGGGGGACAATGCCTCAGAGGCACTTATGGGATGAAAAGTCCTGGAAGTACTTGTAGAACATGATGTCTCATGGACTGATTCCATTCAATGAAGGTTACCAGAGATGAACGCAATAGTGTGCGCAGACAAACGATTTTTTGATAATGTGAAATAAAAGTAAGTCGGCAATTGCTGAAAACAGAAGTTAGGCCATGTGTCAGAGTCGCATATGCTGCCTTCTATCAGTTCCGCAGGGTTCAAATTTTTTTGTGTTTCCTTGCACATTTCTGCTGAACATGTCTATGGCTTCTCCCATAGCCCCTAACTTTGGGGATAGGCGCTAACATTCAAGCACTATTTCTCGCTGACAAAAGAAAATGAAATAACACATCTGAAAGTGAGGTCAATTCCCCGCTGTTTCAGAGAGTTGTTTACTGTAGGAAAGCATATAGGATTTTCTTCTGCTAATGATTTTTTTCTCGAGAGCGAAGTTCTGAAAATGGGGTCCTATGCGGGAAAAACGGCTTTGGCATCTTCGTCCAGAAAGCTATCGAATCTGCTTGGGAGATTACGCATGCGGATACCATCGCTGTTAGTGCTGCTTAATGATAATGCTTTCCGACTGAAAAATAATACTATAGACCTGGCTCGTCTACAGGCCCACCCACGTCGGCTTTTTGCTTGCGAATCTGTCTACATCTTTGGGAAACGTTAGGAAAAAAAAGCGAGAGACAGTTCTTGATCCTCTTGAGTTGTCCAGTTTCACGAGAAACAATGTCATAGATATGAGAAGACCTCCCACATGAGGTAAACTCATCCCAATCCACGATTGCGCGGCCTCACCTCGCTACGATCGTCAACTTCAGCTTTCAAGAGTCTGACTGAGGGAGATTGCAGCAAACACCACCTTCTCCGTACTCTACCGTAATGACTGAGTATCACACAAGATTATAGGTTCAGGTTGTCAGGCTGTGTACAGTACCCCCGAAAATTGCGCGTGAAGTTAAAAATGTCGCGTCGTGAACGCACACAATCGGGCGCACCGTAATCGGTTTAGTTACCCAAGTTTGAGGTGCGTTTAATAGCTCCTGTTATACGGCTTTGCATAACCGGCTGATAAACGTTTCATTTTTGACTCCTAGGGGGGAGGAAGTTCCGGGGTGCGGCGGGCACCCGAGGCAGCGACCCGCCCGACCCCGGCGAGCACCCGCCCGTGGCCAGGCCATCGCTCAGGCCAAGTGGCTCCAGACAGACCCAGGGCCCGCTATGTGCATCCACGGACAGCACCACTAACTCCACCCGAACCCTTTGTTGCGGAAAAAAACCGTTAGGAATTTTTTCCTCGACCCGATGACTGACCTGCATTGTATGAGATAACATCATTCACTGCGGCAATCTGTACATTGTGCACCTACTCAGTGTGATCCTCCTGATGATATAACCAGTCGGCTCGCCGGCTGACGGCGTTTCTGCGTGATACGGCCCGGCTTCGCCGGCTGATGAATTGCAGAGATGATAGAAAGCCGGGTATCAGTCGTGCATTTGAACGTACGAAAGCAGGTAGGGTAGACGAAGCCACGCCCGCCCGGCAAGGCCGGGCCGTATCACAGAGGAGGCGCGCCGGCGTCAGCCGGCGAGCCGACTGGTATCGAATGCATTTACGACGACCAGTGGCTGCCGATGCACTGACGCTCAGTAAAAGTAGGCAGGTCGTGCTTGAAGACACGCACATCCCACTTTGGGCGGGCCTCAACGCACCACATACACCCTTCGCTGTATCTTTCTTTTCTCCAGCAACTTTTTGTGATCCCTGAAGTCACTCAGGTCCGAAATATAAAATATCGTAGCAAGCACAGCCCATCTCGAGTCCTGCAATTGTTGAAGATGTCTGCCCCATTACACCCCCTAACCCCCTTGTGACCTTCAGTCCACATGTCCCCGGTGCATATGCTGCTCTGCAAGCAACTCGTGAATTTTTGACTTTTGCCCCTCCTACCTCGACACCTGCTTCGCCCACAATGGGCGTGTCTATCTCACTTCAATGGCCGAGGACTTGCACACCTCTGCTCACCTTTTGCCGGTGTCTGGACTGCTCTGGGAA